TGATAAGTGGTCGACAATAGTACTGTTGTTGTTGTGGTGGTGGTGTGTACTACTTACAAAATGTGTCTTTTAAGTAGTATGCAGTTGAGTATTGCTTACAAGTTAATGCTGAAGTGGAGAGTGCCAAATCCGAGTATTGTTAGGATTAGAAGGCATATAGATTAGTAGTAGTAGTAGTGTAGTGAAGGAGAACACAGGTGAGGGCAACCAAATTGTATTTAACGAAAATTATAGAGTTACTCAGTAAAATAGGAAAACCATATCGTAAATCGTTCATTTGCAAAATATCAGTTCATCATCAATCCACTGTCTTACATTTCACTATTCATGCGTTTCATACAAATTCCATTGTGTTCTAACTCTTCCTTTCTTGATCTTCCACCATCTTCTGCTGCCAGACATTACGTTGACACTCACGTCATATACTACTTATAAGTAGCGCGCACCACAGTAGTAGTAGTAGTAGTTATGTAGATATTTGTTGAAATAATGAGTCAGTTATCGTTAGACTTTACCTTTGGACACTTCAAAGCACTGAAAGACACCCGTTTGGTGCTGGTGTTTGGGACTCATCAGCAGTGTGTATCCACAAGTCTTACTAAACGCAGGCTTCAAATCCAGGACCTTCGGTCTTGTACGTGAGAACGCATAACGAATCTGTCGACCACTGAACCAGCCGGTATCTAACAGGTGTCAATGTCTAACTCTGATCAGCCTAAGGGGTTAGCTCGACCTCACCCACCATTGTCTTCGGTTGTTACTGCCTACACCCAACATGGTTGAACTCCCCTTGGTTACGTCTTCTCATTAAAATAACTTCGAGAAATTCATTTTGAACCTAGTCATTAGTGAACACATTTTATAATTTTGGTTTACATTGAAGATTAGTGTTAATTTAAAAAACTGAAAACTACATGAATGTACATACTTTTGTGTTCACACCTAACCTCTAAACTACTGTATCCAGTGATTCCATATTTCTAATAGTGTAGTAGTCGAATATTAATTGATTCATGATTTCAATAACTCAGTAACTCAACTCCATCATGTATATATATGCATATGTATACTCACTGCTGATGAGTCCCATACACCAGGACGTAACGGGTGTTTTTCAGTGCTTCCAGCATTCTAATGGTGGTCTAACAATGATTTCGCACATTGAAATCAACAATCACTCATTGTTAGACCACTACCATTCGAAAACCCACAAGCACTCAAAGACGGCCGTTTCGTCCTAATGTATGGAAATACTCATCATTGACAGTACGCATCCTTGAACTCCTGCCACTCGCAGGATTCGAACCCAGGAACCTTCAATCCTCCGCCCACAAACGCTTAACACACCTTTCAACCACTTATAACCAGTCAGGCATCCAACGATCGTCTTTCTATGCTTCCAAGTTTCTAAAACTGCTACTGGTAGGCTAACAATGATTGATTGATAATTTCAGTTATGATTATTATTTTCTCCAGAATGTGTCATATACCCTCAACTATTTCATTGTCTTTAATAAAACATGTTCAATTTCTTGTATCCTTCCTACTTGTGATTTCATTTTTTCATTCAAACACAGAGATATATGTACAATTAAACCCACAAACACAGTCACACACACACATCTCCTTACATACATACAAAGGCATAATAGATTAGTTAGTTTTATCTTGTGTAATCTTATCTATTATTATTATCATTATCAGTAGTAGTATTAGTAGTAGTATAAATGATATTTTTACAACTTTAACAATCAATCCTCTAAATTCATATTGATTTATACATAGAGCAGAAGAATAATAACAATCACTAGAGAAAATATTAAAGTTGTGTTGGCATATTTTTTCTTCATTTTTGAGGGATTTAATTTTTATTTCTTAAATTAAATTAAATTATTATTATTATTATTAATAATAAAACATAATAATATGAATAAAAATTTAAACAGACAATAAAAGGAAAAAAATGTTGGTAAATTAACTACCCTGTTACTTTGGTTATTGTTATTATTATTACTACTACTACTACTACTAATATTATTATTATCAGTAGTATTCCCAATTATTGTGGGCGAAGTGAGGTTAGGTGGGTTGGGGTGGGGGCGACTAAAATTTTCAAGTCCTCATCGTGGTGTCATTATCAGTGAAAAAAAAATTAGCCTGATTCTGAATGATCATGATGATTTGGAATCCACCTCACCTATTTTTTATCCCAACTGTCTATTATCTTTGTGTTCTCAAGATATATATATATATATATATATATATATATATATTTATACATATCTAACAAGAGTTCATGGGGATATATATATATACGTTATACAGCTCTCTCTCTCTCTCGCCCTCTCTCCCTATCTATCTATCCTCTTGTTAATATTGGCTTATACAATGAAAGATACCAATTTCCGGATATTGATAGAGTGTTTGGTGAAAATTATTACACTTTACATATCTTATATATATATACATATAAATGTGTATAACGTTCAGATTAATTCAATTTTTATACAAAATCTAAAGAAATCACTCTTACTACTACTCTGACTACTACTACTCCTGCTACTACTACTACTATGACCATTCAATTTTCTCTATCAATCAAATTTATATAATGTTATTATAAATATGGTTGCCAATAAAATTATTATTAATAATCATTGTTAATAACAGAAAAATTCTTAATTAAATTTTTTTTTAATCTTTTTTCTGGTTACTGTGTTATTTTTTCTCTTGACTCAAACCTCTAAATTTATTCCACACGCATGAGACTAGATCGCTTAAAAGTTAATGCTAAGGCGTAGGGTGCCAAATACGAGTGTTGTGAGGAGTAGAAGACACGAAGTAGTAGTAGTAGTAGTGTGGTGCGGGCTACTTATAAGTAGTATATAACGTGAGTGTCAACATAATGTCTGGCAGCAGAAGATTATGGGAAGATCAAGAAAGGAAGAGTGGGAATACACAATGGAATTTGTATGAAACGCATGAATAGTGAGTGACAATGGATTGATGTTGTTTGCAACAGGAACAGTCCAGTTTTTGATATAATGAACTGATATTTTGCAAATGAACGATTTACGATATGGTTTTCCAATTTTACTGAGTAACTCTGTAATTTTCGTTAAATACAATTCGGTTGCCCCCACCTGTGTTCTCATTCACTACAGTAGTAGTAGTAGTAGTAGTAGTAGTAGTAGTAGTGTGAGTAGTAGTACTAGTATTAGTGTGAGTAGTATTAATAGTATTAGTAGTAGTAGTGTTGTTCACGAAAACTCAGGTAAGGACATCAAAATATATATATATATATATTTAAGTGAATATTACAGAGTTGTTAAGCATATGTACAAAAACTTCCCGTGAAATCATCAACTGCAAACTAATCCTTATTTGTTTCAGATTTTAATATTCTTTCATTTAGACTATTCAAACTTTAGTTCACTTTACGTTACCTACCTACAAATCGCCTTCTGTCTGTTCTCATTCTTTCCTTCTTGATCTTTTACTGTCAGACGTTTGATTTCCGTTTGGTATCATATACTACTACTTATGTGAATATAAGTAGCGTACACCACAGTAGTAGTTATGTACGCATATATATTGAAATAATGAATCAATTATTGTTAGATACTACCATCGGAAACCTAGAACCATTGAAAACCACCTATTTCGTCCTGGTGTTATGGGACTCATCAGAAGGCAGTGTGTTTCCACCACTCCTGCACCTCACAGGATTCGAACCCAGGACGTTCGATCTTAGGCGCAAATGCTTAACCTCTAGATCACTTTCCCTACCAAGAATATTATTGCCAATAAAATTAATAATAATCACCGTTAACAAAAAGGATACTAATTAAATTTTTCAAAATTTTTAATCTTTTTCTGCTTACTGTGTTATTTTTCTCTTTACTCAAGCCTCTGACTTTATTCCACAGGCATGAGACTAGCTCGTAATCATATTTAAAAGATATGTATATTTGTATTGCATTATGGGGTTGTGGAGATTATGTTGGGGATATTAGATCCTCAGAACTCACTTGATAACGGTGATAATTTTGGATTTTATATGTTTTCACGCATTAGTTGCTTAGTTGACCTTCAGGTTGAATTCCCCACTCGGAAAATCCTTGACTGTCATTTGGTTGATGTATTATTTTAGTACGCTATTTTGGTGGCTCCCCCAAGGACGTTTCTGTCATTGTATAAATAAGCTTGATTTGTATGCTTGTCGACCCCATCTTTTCTGGGTGCTTTTAGAATGCACTTTCTATGGATATCATGGCCGGTGACAATCGAACAGGAATAACCATTTCTCTTCGCACTCGTTTACCTGACTAAGGTAAAATCGTAATAGTATTCAAGTATGTCAATTGACGAGCATAACAGATTGTTCAGTTAATTAATTGAGATCATGAATCAATCAATGATAGACCATAACATCAGAAGAAACCTGGAAGCACTGAAAGATGGCCGTTTCATCCCAATGTATGGGACTACTCATTAGTGGTAGTGTGCATCCACAACTCCTTCAGCCCACAGGAATCGGACCCAGGACCTTCGGTCTTGCGAGCGAATGCCTAACCTCAGCCTGTATCTAACGGTATTAATGTCTAACTCCGATCAATCCATAGTCTTGTGCAACCTTATACATTGTCTTCAATGAGCATTGCTTCACAGGTTTCAATTCCACTGATCAACACTTCTCATTAGAACTCGGATAAGATTCCTCACAGAGCTAGTCACTAGTGAGCACAAGTAATTTAAACTATAGTGTTGTGAAGACTGTCAATTTTCTTTTTGAAATCTTCACTGGAAGACTGCCGTTATATCCCGGTATATGACTCACCAGCAGTTACATATCCACAACTCCTGCACCTAGCAGGATTCGAACCCAGGACCTTCGATCTGGTACTCGAACAGAATATTTAATTAAAGATTTGAATTTGTTTTTAGTCATAACATATTACTTATTTCTATTGTATTTTTTTTCTCTCGAATTTTAACAGATCAAAATAATAATACTACTAATAATAATAACAGTAGTTTTTGGAAACTTCTCAATTTATTACCACATTTTCCAATGTTATGGCCTCCTACTCTACCTCCGCTGCCTCCATTACCGCCTCCGCCGCCTCCACCACCACCACCACCTTCAGCTTTAAGTCTTAATTCTGTCGCTTGTTCCTCCTCCTTATCCCCATTATCCTTATTGAAATCATCATATAATGGTTTACTATCAGATGACAATGAATCTTTATTACAAAAATATGCTAAACAAACAATACAGTTAATAGAAAAAAATCAAACATTATTTAACAATACTACTAATACTACTACTAATAACAATACTACTAATAATCCCTTTATCAATCAATTCACAGAAATTCATAATCTCACTACTTCACCATTGAATAATAACAATTTTAAATTGAACATTGAACATTCTAGCGGTTATGATAAAAATCGAACACCCCCACCACCACCACCAACAACATCAACATCCTCCTCGTTGTCACCGCATGGCGGAGAATTCATTCAGCCAAACAATAATAGTACTACAACTATGATCGATACTAACACGACTACTATGATCAATAATCATGAGACACATTGGAATGTACATTCTACACCATTTGGTTCAATATTTTATCATACAACAAAAAATTCCGGTTCATTTGAGAAATTGAATAGTGAACATGAAACATTGAACACGTTGACTACTACGACTACTACAACTACCGGTACATTGGAATTAGATCAATGTATGATGCCTTCTTCATATGATCATTATTTTGATAATGATTCAACTCATCAATACACAAACAATAGTACATGTAATAATAATAATAATTTGTCGAATGACTTGTATGATCAAAGTTTATCATGTTCCACACCAGAACATCACCATCATCACCACCAACACAAACAACAAGTACAGTCAACTATGAATACTACTAATACTACTAATACTAGTATGACGACAACTACAACTACTACGACTACGACCACTACTACTACAAATACTACTACTCATACTCCAACTAGTAGTACAATACATATTAATGGTGTTGTACATAATACATTGAGAAAAACACGTTCAGATATGAAAGTAATACATAGATATTTAATACAAATTAAACATGATACACGTGAAATACATCAAATTCCATCTGATGAATTAGATAGTTATATACAAGTAAGTTTGAATTTTAATTCATTTGTTATTGGTTTATGAAGATTAAATAGGTTGAAGTTAAATATATATATACATGTGAATTGTATTGTTGGATTGGAAGTAATTGAAAAACGATTCTTTTTGTTATAAGTATTGGGATTAGTCATCAAGTAATATGTGCTCATTAGTGATTAACTCCTTGAGGAAGTTTCTTTGAGCTATAGTGAGAAGTAGTGACCAGTGGAGTTCGACCTCCGTTCGTGTGGGAAGAAGTACTCGCTGAAAACAATGAATGAGGTTGCGCAATATGATCGTGGATTGAACGAAGTTAGACATTAACAGTGTTAGATACTGGCTGACACAGTGGTCTAAAGGTTAGGCGTTCGCGTGTTAGACGAAAGGTCTTTTGTCGTGGATATGTACTGCTGGTGAGTCCTATACCGGGATAAAACGGCAGTCTTCCGGTGCTTACGGGTTTCTAATGGTGTGGTCTAACATAGACGGATTCATGATTTCAAAAGATTAACTCGACAATCTCCACAACCCTATAATGCAAATTACATATGCTCACTAGTGACTAGCTCCGTGAGGAATCTTATTCGAGTTGTAGTGAGAAGTGTTGATCAACGGAATTGAAATCCGTTCGGGTGTGAAACACTTCTCACCGAAGACAGTGAATGAGGTTGTGCAAGATCGTGGAATGATCGAAGCTAGATATTAAAACTGCTAGATACCGGTTGAATCAGTGGTCTAGAGGTCAGGAGTTCGTGTGCTAGAACAAAGGTCTTGTGTCGTGGATATGCACTGTTCGTGAGTCCTATACCGGGGTAAAACGGCAGTCTTCCAGTGCTTACGGGTTTCTAATGATGTGGTATAACATTGATCGATTCACAATTTCCGAGTTCTAGTGAGAAGTAGTGACCCGTGGAGTTCGACCTCCGTTCGTGTGGGAAGAAGTACTCACCGAAAACAGTGAATGAGGTTGTGCAACATGATCGTGGATTGATCGAAATTAGATATGAACACCGTTAGATACCAGTTGACTCAGTGATCTATAGGATTGGCGTTCGCGTGCTAGACGAAAGGTATTGGGTTTGAATCTTGCTAGGTGAAGGATTCGTGGATATGTACTGCTGGTGAGTCCTATACCGGGATAAAACGGCAGTCTTCCGGTGCTTACGGGTTTCTAATGGTGTGGTCTAACATTGATCAATTCACGATTTCAAAAAGAAAATTGACAGTCTTCATAACACTATAATTCAAACTACCTATGCTCAATATTGACTAGCTCCGTGAGGAATCTTATCCGAGTTCTAGGTGAGAAGTGTTGATCACTGGAATTGAAACCTGTTCGGGTGTGAAGCACTACTCACCGAAAACAGTGAATGAGGTTGTGCAACATGATCGTGGATTGATCGAAATTAGATATGAACACCGTTAGATGTCGGATGACTCAGTTCGCGTGCTAGACGAAAGGTATTGGGTTTGAATCCTGCGAGTAGCAGGAGTCATAGATGAGCACAGTTGATGAATCCCATACCAGGACGAAACGGCAGTCTTCCAGTGCTTACGGGTTTCTTCTAATGGTGGTATAACTATCAATGTCACAGACTTCAAATGTTGTTTCCTATTCAACCTAACTGTATAAATATGCATTATCTGTAACGTTTTATGACCCGGTCCTGGAACGGGATCCGGATCCTTATTCCGAGATCCTGATCCTCTTCAGGACTTGGACCTCGTACTTTCTAGATGTTTGTAGAATACATATTCTACTTCATATCAAGTCTTCTTCTCTCACTCAATGAAGGGAGAGATAGGGACAATCGGATTAGAACAGCCTATCGTGTCACCCCGTCTCCTCGATCCTCTCACTCTTATTTACCAACTAAGGCAAACTCATCATAGTGACATTCAAACATATCAAAATAACATGTTAATGTCATTCAAAGTGTACATAACAAAATACATTTCAAAAATTTTACCAAAAGATCTACGCCAGGAGATGATTCATGAATGTCACCAGGTAGCGCACACAAGTATTACAAGGACAACTGATTTTACTGCAACAAAGTGAGTACTGGCCAGTTATAAGAGACGATGTTACACGATATGTGTTAGCGTGCCAGTGATGTCAACTAATGAAATGGGATCGATACATACGACCGCCATTACAATCAGTCCCAATAACAGCAGTTGGTGATTTGTGGTCAGTAGATGTTATGGGACCGTTCCCACAGACGACAAGTGGTAACCAGTACCTTCTGTTGATGACTGAGCATACCACACAATGGGTAAATGCCATGCCGATGCCGGACCAACGTGCAAAAAAAACGGTAACTGAAGCGGTAATGCGGCATATTGTGGCGGCGGACCATGGAATACTAAAAGATCATCATATTAACCGATCAAGGTCCCTGTTTCAAGAGTGATGAGTTGAAGTCCCATCTAAAACAGTTATAAAAAAAATCATCGAAAATTACCTGAAATAATAATAATAATAACCAGAGTATTAAAATTATGAAATCATATGATATTTTAATTGAATACACGTTAATAATAATAATATCAAATATTAACAGTAATAATAATAATAATAATAATAATAATAATAATAATATTTTTTTCATAGCGGTCATCATAACTAAAAAATTTTGTTTTTTAGCAAAAAAAAACCCTACAAACTTAAACATCTTCACAGTCATACAAGCACACACACACACACACTCACACACACACACACGTATGAATATTAGACATTTTTTTGTACATGTAGCACTGCATGAAGTTTGTATATATATATATATTTATTTGAATTATTTTTGTAATAAATTTATTAATTTTTTTTATTAAAAAATTAATAATAATAATAATAATGATAATTATTCGATTAGTTAGTTAGTTAGTTAGTTAGTAAATAACTAATTAGATTTAATTATTCAAATTAAGAAAAAAAAATCTACAATTGTTGGTATAATAAATAAATAAAAAATTATTTTCAATAATTTGTTTATTTTATCATTAATTACGATTATTATTATTATTATTATTGAACATGATTGAACATCGAACATGATTGAACATTGAACATTATTGTACATTGAATAATAATAATAATAACAACAACAGATAAACAAAATTAAAATTTTATAAAGTTATTCTATTTGAGGTCATCATTTGGATAAAAGTTATTATTATTATTATTAGTAGTATTTATATATTTTTTCAGTGTATATATAATAATTTTTAAATGTTTTATATAATGAGAAAAAATATATATATATATAAGTTTATATTATTAAGAAATGAGATAATTTTATAAGATGATTACATTGAATTGATTGCAAGAAGAGGGAAATATGAAATATGACTAGCTTCGTGAGGAAATTCTTGGAGTTTAACCATGTCGGGTGTAGGCAGTAACTACCAAAGACAATTAAGGGTGAGGTAGCGCAAAATCTCTAGATCAATCAGAGTTAGACATTAACATCCGGTGGATGCTGGCCCAGTGTTCCGATGGTTAGGCGTTCGCCTACAATGCCGAAGGTTCCGGGTTCGAATCCTGAGGGGTGCACGAGTCGTGGATGCGCACTGCTGATGAGTCCCATACCATGACAAAAAGGCCGTCCAGTGCTTCCACGTTTCTAATGGTGGTTATCTAAAAATGGTTGATTGATGATTTCAAATGTGTAAAAATATGAATCCAGTTAGAACATGTGACTTTGATTGGTGTGTAAACAACTTCTCAGGCTCACTGATAAATTACATTCAACACTAGAGATGAATGAATGTTGAGTCAGTCAGTCAGTCAGCTACAACGTAGAACTTCATACCTGTTGACATAAGTTCTGGTAGCCATACCACATTAGCACACAGAGACTCAATTATCAGTTCAAATCTCATATTAGTAAAGATAGTACAAGTTTAAGCAGTAATGGGGGAATATTAGGGATTAAAGATATAAATTCAAGAAGTATAAGCCAATGAAATAACTCTAGAAAGAGAAAGACAGAGATGATGAAGAATTTAGAAGATTAGAATTTGAGGGAACAAAAAGAGTGGAGGCACCTGTGGCATTAAAAACGATTTTGAGCTATGTCTTTCAAGATCTCTAACCATAGGTCAGTATTTTCTCGTGGACTCGGTCCACTTGTCAGTGACACTTCATGAATTCATGCTATGTTTTGGTTTGGCCACACCTAGCTTTCTTTCAACCTATTTCTATACCACAAATCATCGCTCATCGAGGTAGCCGGTGATTGGGCATACGTCAGAGCACATGTCTCAACCATTTCAACCCGTAACAACACACAAAACCAAATCGGTCACAATCAAATAAATATTCAAATGATTTATGATTAAGACACATCTGTCAAACATAGTCAACATTTCAACCAATGACTGACTATCGGTTACTGGTCAATGCTAGTCTTCCGTGTTAACCGAATTCTATCGATCATTTTAGAAACATTTCGAAGTAGTCAAAACGAAAATTTCGATTGACCTGCGTTTCACACTAGTTGATACTTATCAATAACTTATAATTAACTTTTTGAAACTAGTCATTAACTTGTATCAGTCAAATTCTACAACGTGAGAAGTATCTTTCATCATGAAACTAACAATTAACGTATATAGTATTGTTAGGGGTTTCGTTCTGTGAGCTGGATGTTGTTAGTTGTGAGGCTTTCATTGTGCTTCTGAACAGTAGACATCATCATTCAGTACAAACTTCAGGTCGATGATATGTGAAGTATTCGAATTTCTCAACAAATGACTCAGATACATGACTGGGATACAATTAAAGATAAACATGCAGACAATGACAGGTTATTGGTCAATGACATCCAATCAAAATCAAGGTCAACAGGACAAGCTAGGTGTAGTTACAGGTGGATAAACTCGAAGACTTCACTTCTTCAACTTAAAGTTTGATGCTGATGATGTTTGTTGTAGACATGAAGAACAGCAAACGCTCCACAACCAACAGCATCCAATTCAAAGAACAAACTTACTTAAGTCTGTCACCTCTTAATGAAGCACAGGCAGACGACCAGTGGTGAATAATTTTTTCTAGTTAGCGTTTTTCTTAAGCGAGTTGGATTTCTACGGGGTTGGGGTCACTAACCCCATATCTAAACCTCCTTTCTTATCTAAGTTTGGAACCGGTAATAACTCTAGAATGTCTCCAGGTGGATACATAAGTCCTCGGTTTGAATTTTGTGAGTGGAGGTCATGAATGCTCACTACTGATAAGTTCCATACCTAGACCAAACGACCATTTCTCACATTCATTCCTACTTCAATGAACAAAACTCGATCATAAACATTATCTATCTATCTGAACTTCAATATTTTCCCTATATTATCACAAATAATATTGATTTTTAGTTAATTTATATGATTTCTCTCTCTGTATATTTTCAGGATTTTGTCTTGACTGCAAAAAAGAAAGATGGACATGAATATGAACCGGAATCATTGAAAGCTTTTGTACATTCATTGGAAAGACATTTAAAAGTGAGTAACACATCAGTTATTGATTATTATTTATATGTATATGTAGGGATACTACCCCTTAACTCAGGTTTCCTCATATGGTCGAAAAATGAAAATTTCGGAAACGCCAAAAAAAAATCATTGCCTGACATGAGACAAAGGGTAATAGAAATGTTTGGGCCTATTTGCATCAAGCTGGGCTGCCTCTTCTACTATTCTACGCCCTATATGTGTACACCATATGCTATATTGCTATACAGAGCTGAAGGTCACCTATGAGACTAGAGGTTCTCTGTGAATATTGTAGATGGCTTGGCTTTGCTTTGGTAAGCATTGTTAACAGTCCATATACAAAATTGGTTATCAGGGTGACCGATTTCATCGATATATAGGTGGTTGTTTTGCGACATTTCCGAGGGCCATTGTCATCGGGGTGCTGTATTACATATCACCATTGCTAATAATAATCATGCGTTTGACAGTCATGTAAGCGAGATGAATCGAAATGGCCTGTTCACGCAGTGCATATTGATTGACGCGATCATGGATCGGAAATATATATACCATTGTGTGTATATGAAATGGTGTGAATGGTCCACCAGAGGGTATCAGGTACCTGTTTGGTGGTTGCACCACAGGATTAAGCCGAACTGTTCATGTAGTAATGGCAAAACGTGAGTAGTCTCTTTGGCTCTCCTGAAAACCAATGTAAAATTGCCCTTGACAACATAGGGTAAATCTATATAATTGTGAATATGTATATGTATAGTGAATGATTTTTATCAAGAACAAATGTATTAATTTTTAATATAAAGTTAAGCGTGAACATCACTCTGGATGTCAGTTCAATGATCTGGAAGTTAAGTGTTCTTGTGTGTGAGAGAGATCGAAGATCCTGCATTCGATTCTTACAAGTGAAGATGTGATGTTGGACTCATCTTTATCTTCGAAATTCTGTATATCACCGTCTTCATGACTACTTTTGTGTAGGTGATAAGTATTGTCCAAGCATACATATACATACGCATACCCGCTCAACAATGTGATGTTCTTCTGCAAAGGTTCATGGATGGGAACTGCTGATGAGTTGCCTATACTAGGACAAACCAGTTGTTCAGTCCTTGTGAGTTTCCACTAATAGTCTACTAATGATCAACTGATGATTAAACTGGAACTCAACGCTTGCACGTAAACACGTCATTTTGATATGCTTGAATTATTACGAATTTGCCTTAGTTGGAAAACAAAAGCGAGGATTGAGGTTCCCGCGACTCAACATGCTACTCTAATCCGATTATCCTAACCCCCATATTGAGTAAAAATAAGAAGATTTGATATGAAGTAGAACCTGTATTCTACAAGCATCCAGAAAGTACGAGGTCCGAGTCCAGAAGAGAATCAGGATCCCGGACTAGGGATCCGGGTCATAAAATGTTACAGATAATGCGTATTTATACAGTTAGGTTGAATAGGAAACAACATTGAAGTCTGTGACATTGACAGTTAAGACAACTGATAGGAAACAATATTTGAAGCACGTGACATTGATATATAGGACGATCATAATATTGACCAGTAGGAATCGACCAATAGAATTAGACGTACGAACAAGGTAAAATGAGCCTATAAAGAGTTTATTCCTAATACTCATATCACTATATGTATTCATTGACTAAACTATCAAAATAGAATGTTATTTTACTATGACACTGTGAATCGATCACTGTTCGACCACATCATTAGAACCCTGTAAGTATTGGATAGCCATTTTGTCCTAGTATGAAACTCATCAGCAGTGCTCATTCACGATACTTGCTCTCGGGGATTCGAACCCAGGACCTTCGGTCTCAACATGCGAACGCTTAACCTCTAGACCACTGAACCAGCCGGCGTCCAACGCTATTCAATCATTCTAACGATTTTGCACAACCTTACTATTGTCTTCGGTAGATAACCTACCTCTACACTCGACAGGGTTGAACTCCATTGGTCACAATCTCTGACTAGCTAATCACTAATAAGCACATTTTATTGATTTTCTTTTTCCTCACTGGAAATCATGAATCAATTAAAACAATCTTTATAAAACCAAGTGATTGCTTTTTTCAAAAATAGAAATGATCAATGAATTCTGTGTTACTTAACAACAACAAAATCATTATTTTTATTTGATTTGTTTTATTCTTCTGTTTTGTTTCGGTTTCTTACCTTCCTTCCTTCCTTGCAAATTATGCATTTCATAAACGCGCGCACACACACACACACAATCACACATGGAAATACAACATTTTGCATGTAATATAAATATGTGTGTAATTGAATTTTAGCAACAATCACATTGTTGTTGTTAGAATCATATTAATTTGTTTTACAAGAGTTAAAAAAAAAACAAAAGAAATGAATCTCTCTCTATCAGCAATTACCTTGATCTAATAAAATATTTTGAAAAATAATAATCATAATAATAATCATGTTAAAATGTATAATTTCTTAAATATGTAATCCATGTGGTTATATATTTATCTATGTAAATAATAAGTTAGATGATAGATAGACAAACCAACCAACCAACCAACCAATCATTGAATAGACATTATTGATAAATAGACACATCCAAACTGAAAAACATGTGCTCTTTCTTACCAAGATGAAGACAGACATAAATATCTATATATATAGAACACAGACATACACATAAAAACAGATGAATTGATTGATTGGTTGGTTGAATTCACATTGTGGAAAAAGAAGAAATTAGTGTGTTAGTCAAAATTTAGGTCAGCAGTACAAATCAAAATTGTATTTATTTAGTGATTCAATGTAATAATTATTCACATTACATTATATATATATATATACATAGATTGATTATTGAAAAAATGTTTATCAGAAATTAGAAAATGCTGCTGCTACAAAGTCGTGAATCAATAGTGTATAGGTGTGCTTGTGTGTGTGTATTTGATTGCATGAATTTACTGAAAAGAATTAGGATAAATCGGTGTATTGTGTTCAAGTCATTTCATCATAATGTAACTTGTTTTAAACATTTTATTAAAATGCAATTTACAATGAAGTTGGAAATGAATAATTAGTTCAGATGTCCTGGGTTCGCATCCTGCAAGATGTAGGAGTTGTGGATACGTGCTGTTACTGATGAATAGTCTCATAAACTAGGACGAAACGGTTGTCTTTCAGTGCTTCCTAGGTTTCTTTCTAATGGTAGTTGTCTAAGAATGATTGATTGATGACTTCAATGTGTAATAATGAACTGTTATGATTCTCCTCTAAATTTCTAATATCATTTTTGTCTTTGACAGTAATAAACACATTCAGTCAGTCAGTCAGTTACAAAGTAGAACTTCGTATGTAATTAGATCAGTTCAGGATGTCATACCACATTAGCATAGAGATGCAATCGTTAATTCGGATCCCATTGTGGTAGAGGTAGTCAAAATATTAGCATTAATCGGATAGATTAGGTTTCGAAGATGTTATTCAAGAAGTATAATTCAGTGAGATAAGTTTAGAAAGAGAAAGATAGAAGTGATGACGACTTGAGAGAACACAATAAAATGTATGCACCTGCGGCGCCATTGCAAACGGTTTTGAGCCATGTCATTCAAGGTCTCTAACCATTGATGACTTTTGTCTCGCGGACCCCAACAAGGTAGCCTACACCTATCGAAATGACTCAGTCCACTTGTCAGTGACACTTCATGGAGTTGTGTCATGTTTTGGTTTGGCCACCCCTAAATTTCTTCCAAACAGATTACTATTATTTTCAGTTAGAGTTTTGGAGATTTGTGTTTTTACACATTTGAAATCGTCAATCAATCATTGTTAGACTACACCATTAGAAACCTGGAAGCACCGAAAGACGGCCGTTTCGTCCTGGTATAGGACTCATCAGTAACAGTGCGCATCCACGACTCCTGCACCTCATGGGATTCGAACCCGGGACCTTCGTTATTGTGCACAAAACCCCTAGATCAACCAGAGTTAGACATAAACACCATTGAACGCTGGCCCAGTGGTCCGATGGTTAGGCGTTCGCTCATAACGGCCGTCCAGTGCTTTTAGGTTTCTAATGGTGGTCTAAAAATGATTGATTAATGATTTCAAATGTGTAAAAACATTATTATTATTAGATAAATAGTTGAAACCATATAAATTCAACTATAAAACGAATCCTTAATTCAATAATCATTGACTGCCATTAACAACTGAACATGTCAGCCATTGAATCTTGACAAGACGCATACATTCTAGACTCAATATCTGCTAGTATGATCATAGATATTAAGAAATATTCAATAGTTCAACAATGGAACCACCGACTGCCTCGAAGAGCTTTGTTTTGTAGTGTAGGAGTAGGTTGGAAGAAAGTTAGGGGCGGTCAAACCAAAACATGGCAGAAATCCATGAAGTCATTGACTAGTGGACTGAGCCATGTCGGTAATTGTCGACTACCTGGTTGGGGTCCGCGAGATGATAGTAATCAATGGTTAGAGACCTTGAATAATGACATGGCTCAAAATCGTTCGCAATGGCGCAGGTGCATTTATTCTTTGTGTTCTCTCAAATCCTGATCTTCTGGATTCTTCAACACCTCTAGTTTCGACTCCCTAAACTTTTCTCACTGAATCATACTTCTTGAATAATATCTTCTAATCCTAAGCTCTCCGATTACTTCTAATACCTTTACTACCTCTTCTACTATTGGATTTCAATTGACAATGAAATCTCTGTGTGCTAATATGGTATAGCAACATGAACTGATGTACTTATGTACGTACAAAGTTCTATGTTGCATCTGACTAACTGACTGATTGACTGAGTTCAGCAATGATTGTTTGGTTTTAATTTTTTTTTCGCAAATCGAATTAAAATTAATTGACTGGCTTTGTTTGCGAATCATTTAATCACAAAAAACCGACTTAAATTTCTCTGCATCTTTTTTTATTCTAACTTTTGGTACATTGTGATAAATGAATTGATACACATTGAAATGTAATCTCTCTGTTATGTAATCCATATGGATCTTTCTGTAATTATTATTATCTGATATGTAGTAACTTGTGAAACTATCCGCTTACCATTGTAATTCACCTCAACTACACTCACTCACGCGCACACACACACACTCACCTGTGCATACAAAGAACTCATATAGCACGCACAAATTCATAGAGTGACAGAGAGAATATATGGATATCATCATACAGCCATGGATGGATGGAAGAACACACAAGTACACTAACTAAATTGTATCATTTCTTGTATAAGCTTGATAATAATAATAATAATAATATGAAAATATTCTTGATACATTTTTCGTAAACTGATCCGATTGATACTATAGTTGGAAAATAAAAAAGCAAACTGAAATAAATCAGGTGTCATTTATCTGAAGTTATGTAAGATGAAAGATGATAATTTAAATATTTACATGGAAATTATGTATGAATCATTGTTTAGACCACACAACAACTTGAAAGTACTGAAAGATGGTCGTTTTGTCCTGGTCTATGCGACTACTACTACTACTACTACTCATCATCAGTGACAGTGCACATCCTTGGACTCATCATCCACCTCACAGGATTCGAAACCTAGTGTAGTGAAGGAGAACACAATGAACCAGTGTCCGGGTAGGCTACTCTGATCTATTGACCCAAAGCAACTAACGAGAAGTCTTGATTTAGCTTAGAAAGTGTATTCTACAAACACCTAGCAAGCACATAAATCGCGTTTATTTATACACCATAGAGACGTCCTTGGGAGAGTCACAAAACATAGTAACATGGTAACCAATCACAGCCGAGGATTTTCCTAGTGGGAAATGTGATCTGAAGGTCAACTGATCAGTCCATGAATTAAATCCAAAATAAAGGCACTTATTTATCGAGCGAGTTCTTGGGCATCTAACACCCACAACAGATGTGCACTGTTGATGAGTTACATCTAAGAACAACATGGCTATCCGGTACTTTCAAGTTTCTAAAGATAGTCTGACATTGATCGGTTTATGATTCCAGAGAAACATCAGTCACATCTAGAATAAACCAGTCAAGATCATAAAGCTGGCTAGCATATATTCCCTCAATATTTCATGATGAGTACCAAATGATACGTAATCTAACACAAGTGTAGTGAACGAGAACACAGGTGAGGGCAACCGGATTGTATTTAACAAAAAATTACAGAGTTACTCAGTAAAATCGGAAAACTATATCGTAAATCGTTCATTTGCAAAATATCAGTTCATCATATCGAACTGGACTGTTCCTGTTGCAAACAACATCAATCCATTGTCACTCACTATTCATGCGTTTCATACAAATTCCATTGTGTTCCCACTCTTCTTACTTTCTTGATCTTCCTCCACATCTTCTGCTGCCAGACATTACGTTGACTGACACTCACGTCATATACTACTTATAAGTAGCTCACACCACACTAGGACCTACTGTCTTGAGCGGAAACGCTTAACCTCTACATTACTGAACTGAGTCAGCATCCAATCAACCAAACCATGATGACATTGTGTGTCCACATCCATTGTCTTCGATTTTAAATGATGACTTGTTTAATCTCGATTGGAATCTATAAATAATATACGGCCACAACCTCTTTGACGATAGTGTACTCTCATAAGATTGCATTGTTTAGTGACAAACACATAATTTTTAAAATAATCAAGGCTTGGTTTAATGATAAAATGTGTTATCTTTAATTGTTGGGGACGTTAGATCCTCAACAACTCACTTGGGAAGGGTTCTAATTTTGGACTTTTTTATGTTATCGCGCATAAGTCGCTGAGTTGACCTTGAGCTCATGTTTCTCACTAGGAAAATTCTTGGCTGTCATTGGTTGATGGATTATTTTTAGTACGCTATCTTGTGGCCTCACCAAGGGCGTTGCTTTCACTGTGTTTAGCAACTTCGTATTTTCTGCGTGCTTGTAAAATACATTCTCTACGCTTTATCAAGACTTCTTGCTTTAGTTAGCAAGACCTAGGACAATGGAATTAGAATAGTCTATCGTGTCAATGAGTCATTGCTTCTGTTCGTTTACCGAGTAAGGTGAACTCGTAATATATTCGGGCAGAGTTTTGGAGGTTTGTGTTTTTGCACATTTGAAATCATCAATCAATCATTGTTAGACCACCACCATTAGAAACCTGGAATCACTGGATGGTCGTTTCGTCCTGGTATGGGACTAATCATCAGTGGCAGTGTGCATCCACGACTCCTGAACCTCGCATGATTCGAACCCGGGACCTTCGGTATTGTGCGCGAACGCCTAACCATTGGACTACTGGGCTGGCATCCAACAACGGTGTTAATGTCTAACTCTGATTGATCTACGGATTTTACGCGACCTCACCCATTTGTCTTTGGTAGTTACTGCTTACACCTGACAGGGTTGAACCTTCGGATGCCGGCCCAGTAGTCCGATGGTTAGGCGTTCGCGCACCATACCGAAGGTCCCGGGTTTGAATCCTTCTAGGTGCAGGAGTCGTGGATGCGCAGTGCCACTGATGAGTCCCATACAAGGACGAAACGGCCATCCAGTGATTCCAGGTTTCTAATGGTGGTCTAACAATGACTGATTGATAATTTTAAATGTATAAGAACTCTTAATAGTTTCAAGCATATCAATTGACAAGCATATCAATAATTTTTATTCAGTGTTATTGAAATGATAACTCACTCACTCACTCACTCTGTCTCTTATTACTTGAACTCTCTAATAGGGCATAGAGTTTTTAAGTAAATTGATTGATATAAGAATTTCAATGAATAATCGATATTTTTTTTCAAAGTTATATTCATTGTTCAATTTCATATATAGAATACAATATTTAAACAATTTCATAATTCTTGTTCATTTCTAATCCTTATTTTTTTTCTCTCTATTTAAAAAAACAAAACAATCTATATTTAGCATCATGGTTATTCACATTCCGTATTGAAAGGTAATGCATTTGCTGGAACACGATCTGTACTGAATCAACGTTTAAATGAATTACGTGCACTTAGTCGATCTGGTATACCAATCAATAATAGCAGTAGTGGTGGTACTAGTAGTAGTGATATACAACATGCTTATTCATCAAATGGAACTAATCTTAATCACAATAATACTAACAAACGTTTATCATCTGGTGTTGATAATGACTCATCATTGGAAAATCGATCGATAAATTATACTAGAAAGTATCATTCCAATCCGAATGGATTATCATCAGCTGAATTACTTCAAGCTGGTATACTGGGTACAGAAAATCCTCAGGTAAGAAAAGAAGTTACTTACTCACTTATTTACTTACTTACATGCTTGTTTACTTACTTGCCTACTTATTTATTTACGCTTTTTACCACCAATGAAGCATAGGTTGCAGACTAGCATTCTCCTAACTACTCTGTCCTGGGCTTCCCTTTCCAATTCTGTTCAATTTTTGTCCATTCTTCTGATGTCTGTCTCTATTTTAATGTGTTCTTTGGTATTCCTCTTCTTCTTTGGCCTTGAAGATTCCAAGTGAGGGTTTGTTTTGTGACGTAATTGTATGCTTTCCACAATGTGTGGCCTATCCACTTCTAGGACTTCTTCCTCCGTTGGAATCTGGTTTGTTCTTTTTTCGCAGTAGGCTGTTGCTGATAGTGTCTGGCCAATGAATCCGAAGTACTTTGCGTAGACAAGTGTGAATAAACATTTGTATCTTCAGGATATTTATTGTGTAACCAAATTGATTTTTCGATGGTCAATGATTTCAAAAACAAACCAATCATGTTTGTTCAATAGTGATTACATATATTGAATGTTGAACGGAATCACTTTTTAAAAACTGGCTGTTTTTTCATTATTCATGATTATTATTATTATTATTATTATTATTATTATTATTAATAGAGATGATTAGATTTATGAATGAATAAATAAGAAAATATTTATTGCAGAGAAGTTTGATGTCAGGAAGAAATAGCTATTAGTGTTCATTGATAATAATGTGACTCATCATTACACATCCAATTCCTTGACAATGACAAAGTATTTGACAGCGTAGACAAGGTAATGTTATGGAACCATCTTTGACACAGTGATATACCTAAGAAGATAGTTAACATGATAGACAATGCTTATGAGGGACTACACTAAAAAATCGTGAATGAAGGATAGCTGACAAATGTATTCCAAGAGTAGACTGATGTCAAAGAAGGCTGTTTACTTTGAAACTTCCGCTTTCTCCTGATGCTTGACTGGATTATGTGGACGCCAACAACTGATGGGA